GCTGATGCAAGCAAAATATATTGTTGAAGATTATTAAAATATAGCTAGAATAGTACATTGACAGGGAACTGCCAGAAATTCACGTTGGCTTTAGAAGAGGCTACAGCACCAAGGATATCATTCCTGATATTAAATGGGTCTTGGCTGAAAGAAAAGAGTTCCAGAAGAATGTTTATTTGTGTTTTATTGATTATGCAAAGGCATTTGACAGTGTGGATCATAACAAATTATGGCTGACATTGAGAAAAATGGGAGTCCCAGAAGACTTAGTTGTGCTAATATGAAATATTTACCTAGACCAAGAAGCTGTTGTCTGAAACGATCAAGGGAACATTATATGGTTTAAAATCAAGAAGGGTGTGTGTCAGGGTTGTATCCTTTCTCTGTATCTATTCAGTCTGTATGTTGAGCAGCTAATTCATGAAGCAGGACTCTATTAAAGAAGAATGTGGTATCAGTATTAGAGGAAGACTCATCAACAACCTGCGTTACACAGATGACACATCTTTGCTTGCTGAAAATGAGGAATATTCTTCTAGTAGTCCATGGTACATTCAGTATTCTTTCCTGGCATCATAATTCAAGGACATCACTAATTCTTCAGTATTCCCTAGTTAGTATCCAGCTTTCTCATGCATATGAGATGATTAAAAAATACCTTTGTCTGGGGAGGGCGGCTGGGAAAAAAAATGCCGTTGTCGGAGCTAAGTGTACCTTAGTTCTCAAAGTTGTATCTTTTTACTTTGTCATCCTAACAGTAAAAACTGACTCACTTAAAAATATGCTCACCAGGCCAAAAACATCATCAATTGCTAATAGTGGCATAGGGATGACCAGGTGGTTTTTCAATGTCACTGAATCACAGGGGAGTTGACTTGCCCACCTTTCTTGGAGAAAAGTGAATCTCTTGGTGGATTCAAACTACATACCTTTGTGTTGGCAGCGTGATTCCTTATCACTAAGCCATCAGATCTTTCTTCTACTTTTACCTCTCTCATACTATTTGCTACTGTTACCTGTTGTTCTTGTTGTGTGTCGTCGAGTTGGAACCGACTCATAGCTGATCCTCCAGTAGCTTTTCAGAGGCAGTAAATTGCACAGGAGATTGCCCATCCTCATCTCATGGAGCAGCTGGTGGATTTGAACCACATGCCTTTGTGATTGCAGCACAGCTTCTTACCACTAAGCCACCAGAACTCCCTACCTGCTGCTTCTAATTCCACCACCAATCATACTGCTCTACTTGTTGTTGTTGTTGTTGTGTGCCACCAAGTCGGAACCAACCCATAGCTGCCTGTACAGATGGTTTTCAGAGGTGCTTTATGACATAGGAAGAGATTGCCCATCCTTCTCCAATACAGAAGCTGGTGGATTCGAACAATGTGCCTTTGAAATGGCAGTGCCGCTTCTTACCACTAGGCCACTAGAGCTCTACTGAGTCAGAAATCCATTGCAATGACCATGCAGATCTCATAGAACCAGACTCATGGTTATGGGGTTTACAGAGAAGTTGACAGATTATAATTCAGGTTGACAACAGGATACATTTTCTCAGACAACTTCCTAGGCATGTTCACAGGCTCTTTGACCTTCAGCCTTAGGGTTTAGGTCAGTGTTAAAAAGCTCTCTTGGTCAATTATGTCTCCCCTCAGTCTTCCAGCATGCTAGGGCAAAAGCTCCTGGCTCTAGCTCCGTGTAATAGCAGTCAGCTCTCTTTCATGTCAGTCTCTGTTTCTCCATTGAGACTCTTGCTGTTCTCATGTAGGTTTTGGTCTGACTAGAGCAGGAATCTCTAGCCTTGAAGGTTACACATGTATTCTCTGCTGCAGCTTCTTTGCTGGTAATTAGATTCCCATCTTCACTACTAAAGTGCCTTAAACTTTGTGGGATGGGGAAAACTGGCCAATCTCATAATGGTTCATTTATACACACCCTATTTCAAGTTTCTACCCAGTCACATGTTGAAAGTCAGAGCTGATAGCCAAGAAAGCCATTTTGAACAATAAACCCTTGACATCACAGTCAGACATCAGATTTTACAAGAGATGAAATCAGATTAACAATTCAAATCTGCTTTTTGAAACTAAAATATCTCCATCTGGAGAGTGCCTCTTTTTTCATTTCCCTTTTCCTAGAGGCTTTAACAGGCAAAAATTATAGTAAAAATAATTCCTTACAGAGACTTGTTCTATTTCCAGTACTTAGAATTTAAGTTCAAACCCACTCACTGATTGCCAAACAGTAGAGAAAATAAGTCTCACTCCTACTTGGAGAAGAAGAAGAAAACTAAAGACATCACCAGGCTGTACTCTACACTGCCTTCCACCTCCAGCCCCCAGCCAAAAGCAGTTAGAGAAGGGATCCAGCAAGCCAGCTTTACTAGAGATGAACTATCATTTTCAGATTTCATGAGTTGCTTTTATGTCTCACCACTGTCTCATACTTTGGATGGTTCCATAGCCACCTGACAAAAGTGGATCGTCATCTCCCACCCCTTCCTTTTTTCCCAGGCAGTCATTTTGTCATATTTTAGTTCGTCAGTATCCTTTTTTTGTTGCTAAGTGCTTTCAAGTCCACTATGACTCATAGTAGACCCTGTGAACAACAGATCTGAACCTTGTGCTATCCTGCACCATCCTCAATGTCTCTGCCATGATCAAGCCCATTGTTGAGAGTCACTGTCTCGATCCATCTTGATGAAGATCATCTTCTTTATCTGAACTTCCATCTTTCCCAACATGATGTCATTTTTGCAAGGGCTGGCCCCTCCCAACAACATATCCAAAGCAGATGAGACAGAGTTTCACCATCCCTGCCTCTGAGGAATCCCTAGTAATACTTTCTCCAAGGCAGGCTTGTTTATTCTTTAGACACCATGAGATATTCAGAAGTCTTTTCCAGCACTGTAATTAAAAAGGCATCAATTCTTTTTCTGTCACTCTTAATAATTACCCAGTTATCAGATGCATAAAAAACAAATAGAAAAACCAAGGCTTTGATCAGTTTCATCGTAGTTTTAAACTGACATTCTTATTTGTTAGCACATTGAAGAGATCCTTGACAGCAGGTTTACCTAGTGCAACATATCTTCTGATTTTCTTGACTGACTGATGTTATTAAGAGTATTGTTTATGAATCCAAGTAAAATGAAATTGTTGACAACTTCAATCCTTTTTCCATCTATAATGATGTTACCTAATGGTTCAGTGGTGACGATTTCTGTTTTTTTATGTCAAGATGTAATCCATATTGAAAGCCATAGTCTCCAATATTTTGCAGAGAGTGCTTCAAATACTTTTAAGTCCTCTTTCTTCAAGCAGGGTTGTGTCACCTGCTTAACGCAGGTTGTTGATGAGTCCATCTTCAATCTTGAGTCCACATTGATCATATAGTCCAGCTTTTAAAATTATTTCCTCAACATACATATTTAATAAGTATAGAGAAAGGGTCCAATCATTATGCACACCTTTCCTGATTTTAAACCATACAGCGTCCTCTTGTTCTGTTCAGGTGACTGCTTCTTAATCTGTATATTGATTTTGCATGGGTGCAGTTAAGACTTCTAGATTTCCTACTCTCATGTTACCCATAATTTTTTATTATCCACAAAGTCAAATGCCTTTACATAGTCAATAAAACTCAAGTAAACATCCTTCTTTCTGGTATTCTTTACTTTCAGTCAAAATTCGTCCAGCATCAGCAGTAATACCTTCATGCCGTGGCCTCTTCTGAATCCATTTATTCCCATTCCTAACACCAGCTATATTTGTGGTCCATAATACCATTTCCAGGTTCAATACTTTGCTAGGAGCACTCACAGGACTCAGTTTGTAGCTGTACTTAAATGAGGCAAAGTCTAGAGTATACCAGGTGCAAGTCCCAAGGGTCCTCTTTCAGTGTAGTCACACAGGGCATGCTTAATTCTCCCAGCAAAGAGTTGTAACAACACATGTGAAATGTCTACCAGAAAATGTCATCAGCAACTCAAAACCCTGGTTTTTATTGGGAAATGATCATGTAGACACTCCTGCTTGGAACATATTTAAATATCAAGATACCACCACCCTCAGTCCACCTCCCTTCCACTCAAGAAAGCAAGCAGATGTTCACTAAAAACTGTTTACTCAAACAGGATAGGCACAATGAATGATTCTTTTGTCAGTTCATGGTAGAAAGCCTCCCAAAATCTAAGTTCTCAAATACCAGGAAGGAGCCAACCTTGCAAGCAGGCCTTCCAAGGGAGAGCAGCCAGGCCCACTGCGGTAACTTCTCTGCATGAGGAAATTGAAGTATAGAGAGTGTAAGTAACTTACCCAATGTGATCCAGCTGTTAGTTGGCACTGCTTGGTGGGTCTGGCTCAAAAACCTGAACTTTGAACCCCTAAAATGATGTTGACTTTTGAGCATTGAGCATGTGAGCCTTTTTTTTTAGGATCAGGGTTTTGAACTGGTTCAGTAATTGCTGTCATAAAGAAGGGCCACTTAAGCACTGCATAATAACTGTTACCTGTTGCCTGTAGTATTTTGTTCTGAGTAGGAAACAAACAACTGTGCCCCATTAAATGATGGTAGCCACCTCACTGCTTTGAATATGTGTTGCTCTTCAGAATCCTGCCAATAGTGTCACCTTCTATAAGGCCAGCCACAATCCTTCTTCCTGAATGTTTTTTAGGAGCCTGATGTGGGAGGCTGGAATTTTGGCAAGTTCAGGTCACAATACCATGAGTACCAAACAGATTTGGTTGCTATGCAGTCCACACATATCCATTGTTTGTGACAGCAGTCACTGAACTGTTTTGAACTATTCCAAAGCCCTGTGTAGATTAGGATCCTTTCTGTGTAAAATAGAAAAAAAAGATGTATTTTTAAGACTATAGATTGTTCATGTCACATTTTAACAGATATTTGATGTTCTTCCCAACTCCTACTCTTTCTGTCTGTGCTCCCTCTGTGACTATTATACTATAACTCTCTAGCATCCTATACCTGTCCTCGTTTAGCTCCTGTTGGTCCTCCCAAATCTTCCTACAAGGCTTCTCCCACTAGAAATATTGAGATAAAGAAGACCACGTCTACAACTGGCACAGGAGAATTGGGGAAAGGAGTCCTTGCAGGGACGGAACTCCCTCTGGTACGTTTCAAACCTATTCATTCTCTCCCCTTTTGACTGATATTTATCTTTCTTGCCTTTGACTTAGGGTCTGTGTTTTCCTCAAAGTCCAAAGACTACTGAAAGGGTAGATTTGGTTTCAAATTTCAATTAGCCTTTGAAAAGAAATTTCACTTTTATATTCTCCTAAATTTATAGACTGACTTCCAGAGGACAGGAGTCCAAAAGACTGGTCCAGGTGCCCAGTTTCCAGTTTATGCTTCTTTTTGAGTCTCATTCCATGCTGTGATTGTCTGTATGGGTTGCTAAACGATAGTCAACCTTCATCCACAACTGTGGCCTCTAAACTCTTTGATACTGTTAGTAAAACAAAAAAAATGTTGAGAAGGTACCTCCACTTTATGTATGTTTATTTAGAAACTTTATATGCCATACTGTTTTTGTTAGTTATCAATTGCTATGTAACAGATTTTCCAAATTTAACAGCTTAAAATGACATATGCTTATTACCTCACAGTTTGTTGGGGTCAGAAATTGGTATTGGTTTAGATGTGTAGTTCTGATACAGGTTCTCTCATGAGATTGTGAACAAGATACCAACTGGGGTTGGCATTCATTTGAAAACTTGACAGGTACTTTTCTAAGGTAGTGGTCCTGTAGAGGGGGAAAACAAGAAGGAAGCTACAGTGCCTATTATGATCTAATTTCATAAGTTGTAAACCATCACTTCTACCACTTCTAATCTAATAACACTTCACGAAAAAGGAGTGAGTGCTAAAGGGCACCTCACATCCAGGGGAGGGCGGTAAATTAAGCTTTGCTTATGAAGGGAAGAAAAACTTCTTCATTGTCTCGAGTCAGAACAAGTTCATAGCTCTATTCGGTTTCTGCGACTGTAAAGGGCAAAGGAGAAGATTGCTCATCTTTCTCCCTCAGATCCTCTGTTAGATTCAGACTGTCAGAGAGACACAACTTTTGAGTTAGCAGTGCGCTCCCTACAATCTAGACCACCAGAGCTCCCTGTTTGAGGGATGAATATCTAATAACTCAGGATCTATTTTAAAACTACCACATAATTGTATTATTGGATACTTTATAATACTCTGTTTATGTTTTAAATCTAGTAGAGCCCTAAGATTCTCAAATAAGAAGTGCTATAGTTCCAGACTCCTGGGTTTTACTATAGGTTAGATGACTATAGAAAGAGATTGTTAGTGTGGGTGCAGCAGCCTAATAGGATTTTGCTACAGAAAAGTGGGATAAGGAGAAAAGGGAATTGACCTTTTTCTAACACCTGCTGTCTGCTAGACATTTATGTCAGTTCTCATCTATGATTTGAGGGATGAGATTATAAGGAATACTTAGAAGGATAAGTGGAGTTGGAGGAATTGGGAGTCTCCATTATGCCCTATATGGTATCTGGGGTCCACAGCTCATTGTCTAGGCTAATATAGCCACAGTGTTTTTTTAACTCTCTTAACAATATTTTTGTCCTAATAACATATATCTGCACTTGTTCCAGTTTCTATGCAGAGCTGTAATGTGATGATTACTAGTACTAGAACAAATGGTGACTTCATGGTACTTGGCTATAAAGATTCCCTCAGTGTGAAGCAGTGTAGCTCTGTGTTGGGCCACATCTATTCTGTTTAGGAGCTTGTTAGGAGTTATAAAGGTGATGCCAGTCATGAGACTTGGCTACTCTATCCTATGTCCCATTTCAGATGGAGAAATCAAAGAGGGAGCCTCGAACACTAACTTCCATGAATACTGCAGTCCTAGGATCTCCTCGGAGAAAATCTGACTTTACAGCAAGCCTTCCTAAGAGGTCATCTTCTCCTGGAACATCCAAGTAAGTGTCTTTCCCGTTGTCTCAACAGCCTGATTCAGAGTCCTTTCAAAAGGCAAGGCCAAGGGAGCTGTGGTGGCCTGGTGGCAAGAAGCTGTGCTGCAATCCTGAAGGTGCACTGTTCAAATCCACCAGATGATCCACTGGAGAAGGAAGGGCAGTCTCCTCCTGTGCCAGTCAGATCCAGTTCAACGGTACACATTAAAAAAAAAAAGGCAAGGCAGAGAAAATGTGCTGTTTGAGTTGACGGACTTCTTTACACATGTATTTTCTGGGGAAAAAAGTGTTGAACTGATAACCATTTGTTGTCTGGTTGATATGCTCTGCTAATTGGTTAGACTGGTCCTTTTAAGTATTTTCTGTTTAGGTCTTTGAACTCTATTTTGCTTTTCTGGTGTTCTGTCTCCTGCATCTGCATCAGGAATAAGCTTAGCACGTTGTGCTTGTGCTCTGTCACTCACTCATATCACTGCCCTCTCACTCATTGTCTTAGACAGGAAGAGACAGTAATGTATGCATTCCTCAGAGACACTACACATTTGATACTGCACCATTGCTATAGAAGTGAGTTTCATAATGAAGTAGTAAGTCACATGTATTTTTTCAGTGCATATAAAAGTAATGTTCATACTATAATTCATTAAATGTGTAATAACATTTTGAAAATACTTGAAATAATGTGAGAGTTACCAAAATGTTACCAGAGAGAGACATGAAGTGAATGCATGTTGGAAAAATGGTGTAAATAAACTTGCTCAGCGCAATTCCTACAAACTTTGGTTTGCAAAATACATGATATCTACAAGGTACAGCAAACTGAAGTGCAATAGAAAAAATTCTGCCTGTACCTGAAAGAGAATGATGTCATGTCATTTGAAATCAGCAATATGGGGTTTTTCCCCCCTTAATTTTCTTTTTACCCCTGTAACATTTTATTGTGATGATTTATGTACAGGTTTACAGGAAAGCTCTGTTTTCCATTCAACAGTTTATATACATTTTGGTTTGTGACATTAGATGTAATTTCCTTCCATTGCCCCTCCTTTCTTGCCCTTTCCTGTCTTCTGAACATTGTTATTCGGGAAAATGCTACCCTTTTGGTCTCATGTTTGATTGTTCCAGGGCCTAGGTTCTTCATAGATGTTACTATTCACAGTATAGTCCTGTCTCTTGTTTGGCTAAAAGATGATGTCTGGGAGTCAGTTTAGTTCCAGGTTTTGGGGCATAGTCCATAGGGAGTTACACTAGCGACCTTTACTTCTCTTATGTTTTGAATCTACAGTGGCACTGTGGGAAGAAGATGGATAGATAGTCCCCTCCTGTGCTGTTTACAGCCTCAGGAAAAAAAAGGAGTCAATTCCGACTCAACAGCAGTGAGTTTTCGTTTTCAATTCTGTTGAGGGAGCTCTGATGGCAGAGTTTATAGTCAGTTTTGCTGTTAACCCAAAGTCTTCACATTTCCATTGGTGGAATCCTCCAAGAACTCCTCAGTAGAAAGATAGACAATCTCTTCATGCTGCAATATTTAGCCTCCTACCAATATTAGTACCTCCAGTCACTATCAGTTGATTCAACTTGATAATGAAGTGAGTGAAACACTGTTGGTGTAGTATGTAACATGTTGGGCTGTTAAATGAATGATCAGCATTTTAAGTTCACTAGCTGATCCACAGAAGAAAGATGAATGAATAGTCTCCTCCCATAAAGATTTAAAACTTCAGAAACCCTTTGGAGGGTTGCTGTTCATCAGAATCAATTTGATAGCAGTGAGTTTAAAAGCCATTTTCTCAAGGATTCTACTACTCTTCTCAGACCAGTAAGTCTGATTTTTTTTTAATTCATTATGCAAAGGTATTTGACTGTGTAGATCATAGCAAACTGGGGCTGACTCTGAGAAGAATGGGAATCCCAAAACATTTAATCGTGCTAATACGAAACCTATACTTGGACCAAGAGGCAGTCGTCAGAACAGAGCAGGGCAACACTGCATGATTCGAAATTGGGAAGGGTGTACGTTAGGGATTTGTCCTGTCTCCATACCTTTTCAACCTGTATGCAGAGCAGATTATCCGGGAGGCTGGGCTCTATGAGGAGAAGCGTGGCGTTAGGATTGGTGGAAGATCTATCAGCAATCTGCGTTATGCAGATGACACAACCCAGCTCGCTGAAACTGAGGAGGCCCTCATGCACTTACTGCAGAGGGTCAAGGACTACAGCCTTCAGTATGGACTGAGGCACAATGTCAAGAAGACAAAGATTCTCACCACTGGACCAACCGGTAGCATCAGGATGGATGGCGAAGAGATTGAGATTGTTCACAGCTTCAGTTTGCTCAGCTCCATGGTCAACACTCTTGGCACCAGCACCCAGGAGATAAAAAACATATTGCGATGGGAAAGTCTGCTGTTAGGGACCCCTGTAAAGTACTCAAGAGCAACAGTGTCTCTCTGGAGACTAAGGTCCGCCTGATACAGGCCATGGTCTTTGCAATCACTTGTTATGCATCAGAGAGTTGGACAGTGACTCGGGAGGATAGAAGGAGAATTGATGCCTTTGAGCTGTGGTGCTGGAGACGAGTATTGAATGTACCATGGACTTCCAAGAAAACAAACAGATTCATCCTAGAGAGGGTTAAACCAGGCTACTCCTTGGAGGCAAGGATTCTGGGGCTTCGTCTGACATACTTTGGACATGTGGTAAAGAGAGACTGGTCCTTGGAGAGGGACATCATGCTTGGTAGGATGGAGGGACAGCGCAGGAGGGGAAGACCCTCTATGAGGTGGATTGATTCAGTGACTGGGGTAATCGGGATGGGTGTGTCAGAGGCAATGCTATTGGCACAGGATAGAGCAGGGTTTAGGGCTGTTGTACATAGGGTCGCTATGAGTCGGAAACGACTCGACGGCACATAACAACAACAACAACATTATTATTATTTTCCATGAAAATTTACAGAGACCTTGGATTTCCATTCATTCATTGTTGTACTTTTCTTCCCTCCTAACCCTCCCCCCTAGTACACTACCCTCTTGGAAAAGTAAAAGAAAATTCTTTCATTGTTTTACAATCCCCCCAGGTCCACCCCACTGTGCAGCCTTCGCTCTGGACTCCTGTCATGACAAAAATACCTAATCACATATCCCTTTTAAACAGTTTTCTCCCTCATCTGCTTCAGTGCAGTATTTGTTATTGAACCCGTCGTTCTCAGTCTCCCCTCAACCCCGAGGTCAGTCCTGTTTTACAATAGTGGCCCTATGCAGTATTTGTCCTTTTGTGACTGAGACATTTCACTTAACATAATGTCCTCCAGGGTCACTCATTTTTTTTTAATATTTCATGAGTTCCTTGTTTTTCAATGCTGTGTAGTATTCCATTGTGTGAATATACCACAACTTCTCTATCCGCTCATTTGTTGATGGGCATTTAGGTTGTTTCCGACTCCTTGCTATTGTGACCAAAGCCACGATAAACATGGATGTGTATATGTCTGTTTGGATGTCAGTTATGGCCTTTTGGGGGTATATCCCCAGTAGTGGAATTGCTGGGTCAAATGGTATCTCTATCTGCAACTTTTTGAGAAAACGCCATACCACCTTCCACAGTGGTTGCACTATTTTATACTCCCACTAACAGTGAATAAGGGTTCCAGTTTCTCCACAATCTTGCCAGCATTTGTTGCTTGCTGCTCTGTTAAATTTTGCTATTCTGACTGGGGTGAGATGATATCTCATAGTTGTTTTGATTTGCATCACTCTTAGAGCTAGGGGTTTTGAACATTTCTTCATGTGCTTGTTGGCCATCTGAATGTCTTCTTTGGTGAAGTGAAGTCTGATTTTTTTTAAGTGACTGGATTTTTCCTACATTCTCCTCCCACTATATATATCCAAGACATTCTATTGTGGTCCTAGTTACAATAGTCCATAGTAGTACAGGGCATCATCTAGTTCTTCTGGTCTCAGGCTGTAATTTGTGCTTTGCACTAATTGCTTGAGTTTTTTATCTTCCTCACTCTTCTTTGCTGCAGATGGAAATAAAATGAAGTCACTGTATTTTTTTAATCAAGAATCTGGTACATTCACCAACAATGAAATAATGTAAATGAGACACAAATTTTCCATAGCTGTTGCCCCTCTATCTTAAGTTATTAAAGTATTTTACTGATAGTAACTAATAAGAGGGACTGGGTAGATAGCTCAGTGAAGCAGTAGAATGAAAGCATCTTCAGTAGTATTGATTAGAGAGAAAGATCGTTTAAATGGGAAGATAAGTCTGTTTCTATAAAGACAACTATACAAACAAACTTTGTTTAGTACTCTTGTTCAGAGAATATAGGATAAAACACGAGTTTAGTGACCACTTGGGATTTTTTTTTAAACTTTTTCTAATGTTTATGTGATGCCAGCCCTGGTTTTTTATTTGTTGCTTCTTTTTTTTTTTTAAGAAATAAAAAAGTACTTTTTCCAGCAGCATATCTAGTAAAATTGGAGTGCTACAGAGAGGATTAGCATGGTCCCTGCACAAAGATGACAGGCAACTTCGTGAAGCATGCCATTTTTTGTTAAAAAAAGACTTTTACAAAGTGAAGCTAGATTTATTAGAAAATTACATCCCAATAGGATGAATCTCTGTCCTTTTTAAAAATTTTTAAATTTTTCTTTTATTATACTTTTCAGTTCTATAACTTTTATATGGCTTTTTTTACCTTTTAAATTTTTATTTATTGCAACAATAAATGAATGGAAATCCAAAATTCCTATAAATGTTCATTAAAATTAATAAAATAAAATTTAAAACATTTTTAATAGTAGTTCTCTGAAGAATCAAAATAATTATCAAATTAGATTCATCAAGACTATATATCCTTTGTTTTTAGATATTTAATGATGTACAACATAATACAAAACTAACCAAAAAGACTGATTTCTAGGAGTAGGTATTATTCATTGTGTCATCCTAAATAAAGCATTGGGAAGGAGGCTGGTCTCCAGGAACAGGTAGAGTTA